GAGGAGCTGATGAGATGGAGGCCCTGCGGGGGCGGCTGGAGGCGGTGGAGCTGGAGCTGAAGCTGGTGCAGGAGGCCGGTGGCGGGCGGGGGGGCGGGCGGGGGGGCGGGCAGGACGCCGCCCAGAGCAGCCGGCGCTCAGCCAGGAAGAACCGCAGAGGTGTGTGTGTGTGTGTGTAGGGGGGGGGGTGTTTTTCTGAGCCTCCGCTCATCATGAAGCAGAATCTGAATTGTTTTATGAATCGTTTCCCGGCGTCCCGTTTATAATGAAATGAAAGTATTTCAGTAAAACCCGTCCCAGATCAGACAAAGCAACACACACACAACACACAGGACTCAGGAGGCTGAGGGGAAGCCCGTCCAGAGGAAAAGCTCCTCCTTCAGAAAAGAGACGCATCGGGAAAGTGGTTTGGGGAACAGGGTTGGGAAAAAAGACCTAACAGGGCGTAACAATGAAAAGACAAGAACATCTTCATCTGTTTGACTTGAACTTAAAGACTGAACTTAAATTGAACTTAAAGGCTGAACTTAAAGACTAAACTTAAAGGCTGAACTTAAAGGCTGACCATAAAGACTAAACTTAAAGGCTGACTTTAAAGACTAAACTTAAAGACTGAACTTAAAGGCTGAACTTTAAGACTAAACTTTAAGACTAAACTTTACGACTAAACTTAAAGACTAAACTTAAAGACTAAACTCAAAGACTAAACTCAAAGGCTGAACTTAATCTGAACTTAAAGGCTGACCTTAAAGATTAAACTTTAAGACTAAACCTAAAGACTAAACTTAAAGGCTGAACTCAAAGGTTGAACATAAAGACTAAACTTTAAGACTAAACTTAAAGACTAAACTTAAAGACTGAACTTAAAGACTAAACTTTAAGACTAAACTTTAAGGATGAATTTAAAGACTAAACTTAAAGACTAAACCTAAAGACTGAACTTAAAGACTAAACTTAAAGACTGAACTTAAAGACTAAACTTAAAGACTGAACTTAAAGACTGAATTTAAAGACTAAACTTTAAGGCTAAACTTAAAGGCTGAACTGGGGGCAGAAACTGACCGTGTTCCTGTTGTGTACAGCGTCTCCGGCTGGTGACGGCGAGGTGAAGCGGGCGCCGATCATCCACCTGTGGAAGGGCCGAACTTATGAGGTCAAGCCCCGTTTGCTGCTTTTTCCCTCTGTACTTCCCATTAAAAGTGGTTCCCTTTGCCCTGTGTTAGGGTCATTTTTTGGTCTAACATGCCGAATTCACACGAAAAACATCAAATCTGAGCAGGAAAAGTTGGATTTCTGTATGTCTTTAGTACTCAGAGTGGGAGTTTTTAACAGTTCAGAGCAAAGCTGGTTCCTGATCTCTCCGGCTTAAATCTGTGTCCTTGTTCCATCTCCTCCCCAGGACAGCAGCCACCCGGTGCTGATAAAGAGTGAGGGGCAGGAGGGTTTGACCGGCCAGGCCTCCGTCCAGCTCCCAGATGAAGCCCCCCAGGAGGACGGGGCAGATCCGGACTACCAGGTCAGATCAAAGGGCCGTTTCATCCCAATTCAAGGATTCCAAAAGACCTCGTTTTAGTCTGTCTTTCGATTTCTGCTGACTTTCAGAATAAATGCTTCGTCTAGCTTACAAAGCTGCTCTTATTAAGATCAAATCAGAGTCAGACTTTTATTATTAGTAACAGGAAGAGTTACTTTGAAAGTCTTCCTCCTTCATTAGCTCTTTCCACCTGGGAAAAGCTGCCCCAGTGTTTACCCTTTAATTTGCCGGTCACGTTGCCTTTTTAATTCCCTTTTTTGGCAACGATGAGTCCTTCTCCTGTGTCTGATCCTCCATTATGGACCAGAGTGCAAGCTCCTCTCACTTATCAGAGCTGGTTTCAGTCCAGGAACTCTGAAGGAAAACGCGTTGTGGATTAGCTAGACTAGTGCTTTATGTCCCTCTCTGCCATTAGAGTTTTTCAAAATGGCGGATCGGACTTAGCCGTCCTGTGTATATACAGAAAGGAAATTCTTCCTTATGAGGAGAAGTCAGATCGTTGCTGAGGTCATTTTACACCAAATGAGGACACATTCATAAATGTAGAACAAGTAGAATACCTAAAATACTACACAATGTGCCTATAATGATCTGCGATGCAAAAAAAACTAATGTAATTGCGGTGATTTATTAAAACATGTACGAGCATCAAACTAAGTACAGAATAAAGGTAACTAACAGTTAGTCTGATTAAAAGGAGTTTAAAGTCCCTTTAAGTAAATCAAACTTCTATTTACTTCTATTTAAGTTAAACTTTTATTTAAAAACGAGTTAATGAGTTAATTGCCTTTTTTCCCCCGCTCAGTTGGAATCAGAGGATCCAGACCAGGGGGACCAGGGGGACCAGGGGGACCAGGGGGACCAGGGGGACCCGGTTTACGCCACCCGGTCCAAACGCGGCCCGAAGCCAAAGGCCCATCAGGCCCATCCGGCCCGAGCCTCCGGGGAGCGGAGGAGCCAGCGGGAGCAGCGCAGGAAGAGCTTCACCCAGCTGCTGCAGCTCAAAGCCCACGGGGCCGCGCACGGGGCCGCGCACGGGGCCACGCACGGGGCCGGCGCGGAGAAGGCCTTCCAGTGCTCCCAGTGTGGCCGAAGCTTCGCTTTCCAGAGGAGCCTCAACGCTCACCTGCTGCTCCACACGGGCAAGTGGCTCTTTACCGGCTAACGCTGGAGGCATTTACTCACAGTAAAAACCGCCATGTCTTTCTTATTTAGTGCTCCTTCAAACATGGTTTTGATATAAGAAAAAATAATTACCATATTGTTTGTTGTAGAAGTCACATCAGTGTAAAAATGTGTCAAAGAGTAAAAACCGTACGTCACTCTGTAGAAATGTATTTAAAAAAAATCTAAATCCAAGAACAGAGGTTTAATCAGGAAAGGCAAGTTCATTAATTAGACATCCGCACAGGACAGGCTGAGCAGGTGTTTAGAATGATAATGTCACACATTAGCTTAATTTTCCATAGCAAGCCAGCAAGTCCAACAAGAAATTTCCTGATGAGCGAGTTCTCCGAGCTCCTGATCTCTTTCCAAATCACTGAGTCCACTGAATTTCCCTGTTTAAGTCGCAGGACCAGCACGGTGATGTCACAGTAGAGTCACCTGACCACCGGCTTTAATACAAGACGGTTAAGTTAAGGTTTTTGGGGGTTTTTTGTGCCATGTTTGTATGTTTTCAGTCAAAAAATATACAAAATTATTGTAATTCTCTGTTTTATCCTTGATATTCAAGCACGCAGCCTCATGACACCACTCATTTATAATATTGTATATTTTA